TCCTGATGCTATATATATGTAAATTATATCATCAATCAGCACAATAAGAAACTCATCAACTGTTACTGTTATGTTATTGTTTAGTTAAAAATTGCAAAATGTGAACAGTATTAGAGTAGTAGAATTCTTAATGGAAGTAGATTAAAAATAAAGCAGTTAATGAATGCAATTAATACGATTTAATAGATCTTCAGTTTGAAAATTGTGATGGAATATTTGGGATAGATCTATATTAGGAGTTATAGTTCCATATTTGGCTGGCATCACTGTCTCAAAATAATGTCCAAGTAAAAACTGTGTTGTCATTTGTTATTTTTCTGTCTCATTAGACACTGTAGTGTAGTATAACACATTTTTCCAATTCCATATCAATAAGTGTAATGTATTTTATTCCTTTGTGGCAATTTTGTTTGTATTCTTCTGGCAACTTTAATTCACTGAATTAATCCCTTGAGCTTCTGGTGGAGAAAATTCATAAAATATTAAGAGGCTCATGCTATATAAAATGTAGTGAGAAATGATGCCAAACAATTTTAAAATAATTCAAGACATTATTTGCATTTTATAATAGTCTCTTTTCTCATCTACACAGTGAAAGAAGTATATCCACTGTGTATGAAGAGGACAATTAATACAAAACTTTGTAAGTAAAAATAGCAAACTAGATCAGTTGATAAAAGAGAATGTTCAGTGATGATATTTACATGTAGTTTTATAATACCAGCCATTTTGTTAATTTGTGAAACTATATGAGAAGCAGAAATAAGTCAGGTATATGCAAAACAGTGGAGAACTCCTAAATTTTGGCATTGTTTCAACACTTGACAGTTCACCTTTGGAGTCTCCTACACAGTCTACATTGGGGGAATGTATTCACGCATGATATATGAAAATGTATAAAATGAATACTAGCTTTTTTCATTCTATCAATTTATTTTCTGATGATGAAAAGGAGCAGTACACTATCTTTGTCTGTGTTTGGCAGCTTATGAAGTTCTGTCTTTAATGCAAAACTATAATTTAAGAGGACTGACATTTGCCAGCCCCAGGAAGGAAAGGAAGATAGATGATCTCTGAGAGCTTCAGTTCTTCTTTGGGGAATAAGGATAAAATTCTTTCTCATGTGTTTTAAGAGCTAAGTAAGATATAATATAACAAGTGTTACACAAAGGAAGAAAGATGATGTAAATCATAAAGAGTATGCATGTTCTACTCCAAGTTAAAAAATAATTCCAACTAAAAGAAAAAATAAATTAATATAGCTATGGTTTGAACCTAGATGCCACGTTTATTTAGGGAGGATTTTAATTTTCTAATTTATTTCACTCTCATGAATGCTCTCAAAATTTAAACTGTACTTTAAACAGATAAACTGAAGCTAAAATATAAGCAATTCATCCAAAGTTATAAATCCTTCATATGACCTATTTGCATTTTAATGTTATGTCTTTCTATTGATAAAGCCTGTATGCTTTATATGATACTACGTTGAATTTATGGTGACACAAATAAGAAATTGATCGGGTTTTGACTCTGTAATTTTTTATTAATTTCTTGTTTCTTAATTAAATAAGTGACTAACTAATGAATAAAAATTATGAACATCTGAGGCTCTGTACAAACTCTTGCAAACATATATATTGCTATTTATAAAACTACTATAAGTTTTATTTGATAAGCCTGCTTTTACCTCACTTTGTTTGTATGTACACTAGTATAAACGATGAGGATTGGTATAAATGATACAATAATAAAATTAAACTATTTCTTTCTCTAAACAGAATCACAAATTATAATTACAAAATACAGTAAAAAAGAAACAGTAATAAAATAAGTCTGGTAAGTGGATTCTCCTGAGGAGTCTTTTCTACTTTCAGGCCTGAGACATTCTCGATTGAACACTTATGTCATGAACCAGGGCCCAAAATGCTTGTGCAGTGCCAGACGTATTCATGGGTATAAATAGGAAGCTGACCCACACTTCCTACACATTGCTGTAAATAATTATCCTTTTCTATAATGTATTTAAGGTCCAATAAGCTCTTTAATTTTGTAAGGTAGAAGAAAAATTATGATCCACCCAATAAAGCACCTTTAAGCAGATATGCTTTGTAAAATATCTCTATGATCTTCAAGAGAATTTAACTGAAGATGAGATAATTGAGTAAAACTTGAAAATAAACCTATGTTTTGCAATTACTACTTTATTTAAACATTGTTAAAAACAAAACCAGCATGCATATGAACAACCACACACCACAAATAAATTGAAAGCAAATGCTTTTATCTCACTCTTTCAAAGTGTAGAAGGATCCATTAAATAAATATTTTATCAATTTTTCTTTAAATTTATGTCAATAATTGACATATCATTTGTTTTAAATTTACATTGAAAATTTCAGAGAAAATATGGAAATACCTTTTGTAAAGTGACTAATATGGGAGAAACACATTCCCAAAACAAATATTAAGCTATCTATCTATCATCTATCTTTCAGATGTATTTTATATATTACACACTAAAGAAATATGACTAATGAAAGATGCAACTCAACAACCAACTAAGCACAAATTAATTAAAATGTTTCATTTAAATCTAATATATTATGATATGAACTGAAATATGTTGAAATGGCTTGAAGACCCAGCCCTAATTTTCAAGAATGCACAACATAATAGAGATTTCAGTATAGTCTAAATGTGGTGAGTGGGGAAGAGTATGAGTTTCCTATGCATTTGTTAAGTTAGTAGTTTACACAGTGAAATGTGATTAGGGGAAGAGTGGTTAGAGATGTTATTACAGTGCCCTACTCATAAAACTAATAATAGTCATACATTTTATGTTATTACTGATGTCTATATTATTTTAAAGGTTAAGGGTATTACTAGCGAGGAGCAGAGAAATGATGTGAGCAAGCAATTTTAATGTTCTATGAATATTTACCATGCTTCAAATTCAGTGATCAAATACTAGTTAATGATGGTAGTAGGCAGCGAATGTGTGTGCACACACATATGTGTGTGTGGTAATCAGGCAGAGGAGACAGATATAAAATAGTGGCACAGGTCAGTGCCATTTAGACAAAGTAAAAGAAGGAAAGCTAAATATAATTGTATGAATGTGACACATACTATACAATCAAGTATTCCTATTCTATTTTGGTTTTATGTAAATAATTACTCTTTAGTCCAAAAATTATTTTTAACATAAAAAAATCATACAAATCCCAGAGATTTAGCTCAGTGGTTCGGAACATTTTCTATAAATATACAAACAAATGTATAAAACAAAACTATACAGCTTTCATTAAATGAAAATCATTTTCCTAAATGCTTCACATAAATTAATTTGTTTTATGCATTCAACTATCATATGACATTTACTTCTCTAAGGAAGAAACTTCACAGATAAAAAACCTGAGCACAGAAGATTAAATGATTTCAGACCCAAGAGGTGAAAATTTAAAAATGGACATTATCAATCTTTCATATGAACATAAACAATGGAAAAGTCATTTAAATTTTGTTTTTTTTTTTAAAACAAAACATTATTAAAATTTATTATTCCCTAATTTAAATGAAACTACAAAACATTTTTCTTGAAATATTTTTATCTTTCTCAAATAGCAGTAATGGTAATGTTAGAGTAAACAGAGGAAAACTTTGAATAAGGCTGAGACATAAATTTGAGAGATTAATATCATGAAAATTTGAAAGACATTCGAATGCAATATATATCGTGCTTAAACCCTGCACTTCACATTGTTTTGTATATGTTGCTCCCCTCTATTTCTGATATGTGAGCTGCTCATGATAAGGATTTCAGGATATCTCACTTCTTATATACCAGAAGTCGTAGCTCGAAAAACTGTGTTAGTTTGTAAAAATTAATAGGTCATTAAGGCCAAAGTGATCACTTCTTAAAAGTAATGTATTTTTTTCTATTTTTGATAATTTTCAGTGTAATAAACTTTTACTCAAAGGATTAATGTGTAGAGACTGAAGCAATGACATGAAGATGATTCTATCTGAGAAGAAATCTTAAAGGTAAGAGGTAATATTTGGAGAGCAAAATATATTCTGACACAATTTTGCCTACCGCTTCAAGGTGGAGAATACCAAGGAGTTAAAAAAAAATTAATCATCCACATTTTTGTACAAATTAATAGAGTTTAGTGTGATATTTCCACAGTATGCATTGGTCATATTTAGCTATTTTTCTCCCACCAATCATTCTTAATACCCATTAATCACTGTTTTACTTTCAGGATAATTATTTTAGTTTCCACATGCAAGAGAAAACAAGTAAAACTTGCTTTTTCTGTATCTGGCTTTATCACTGAATATAATGTCCTTCAGTTCCATTCATTTTGTAGCAAATTGCAAAAGTTTTTCATGAATAATACTCCAATTTGTGTATATACCACATTTTCTTTATCCATTCATCTTTTAATAGACACATAAGCTTATTTAATATTTTGGATATGGTTAGTAGTGCTACAAAAAATGTGGGCATACAGATATTTCTTTTCTAGGCTGATTTCATTTCCTTTGGAAATACACAAAGGAATAGGATAACTGTATCATATGGTAGTTCTATTTTTAGTTTTCTTGGGAACTTTTATGGTTTTCTTCATTATGACTGTACAAATTCACACTATAACTAATAATGTCGAAGAGGCAATTTACCTCTAATATTCTGGTCAGAATTTGGTATTTTTCTTTTAAACAATGTATTTTAAAAATGGAGTCAGGTGGTATGGCTTTGGAGTTTTGAAACTAAACTATTCTTCAATGTGCCTTCACTACACAGTTTTACTCTGTAATAACAAAAAGTAAAGGATCATTGTAATTATCAGAAAATGTTTTCATTTGCCTAGAATATGGGCATGATATACTATTTGAGCACAATCCAAGATCCACTCTTGTAAGCTTATCACACTACAAGTCTGTTTTTTCACCTGTAGATTCTGCAAGAGAAAAATAACTACAACTAAAGAATGAGAAACCATTCAGAAATAACAGAGTTTATCCTTTTGGGGTTGTCTGATGACCCGAAGCTCCAGGCTGTCATCTTTGTGTTTCTATTTATCACCTACATGCTCAGCATCACTGGGAACCTGACCATTATCACACTTACCCTGCTGGATCCCCACCTCCAGACTCCCATGTATTTCTTCCTGAGGAATTTCTCCTTAGTAGAAGTTTCATTTACAACTGTCAGCATTCCCAGGTTTCTGGGCACCATAGTTTCAGGAGATAAAACCATTTCCTTTAATGATTGTATAGCTCAATTATTTTTTCTCATTCTGCTGGGAGTCACAGAATTTTATCTTCTGGCTGCCATGTCCTATGATCGTTATATTGCCATCTGCAAGCCTCTGCATTACATGACCATCATGAATCTAAAAGTCTGCACAACACTTGTCTTTGCTTCCTGGCTGATTTCATTCTTGATCATCTTCCCTGCTCTCATGTTGCTCTTAAAACTTGATTACTGTAGATCCAATATTATAGACCATTTTACTTGTGATTATTCTCCCCTCCTACAGCTTTCTTGTTCAGACACAAAATTCCTAGAGACAATGGGATTTTCTTGTGCTGTGTTTACGCTCATGTTCACTTTGACATTAATATTCTTATCCTATATATATATATTCAGAACAATTTTGAAGTTTCCTTCTACTTCTCAGAGGGCAAAGGCCTTCTCTACGTGCTCATCACATATGATTGTCATTTCCATCTCATATGGCAGCTGCATTTTTATGTACATTAAACCTTCCGCAAGAGAAAGGGTATCTTTAAGCAAGGGAGTTGCTGTGTTAAACACGTCTGTAGCACCCATGCTTAACCCCTTTATTTATAGCCTGCGAAATCAGCAAGTCAAGCAAGCCTTTGTGAACATTGTGAGGAAGACTGTATTTTTCTCAAGTGCATAAAATATTGCGGTATCAGGAGTTAGTGTTATGCTGAAGAGAAATTTAAAAAGTAAAAAATAAGCATTTCCAGAAACCCACTCAAGCCAATTTGATCTTTGTCATCCTTGTGTATGTTTAGCTAACAACTTGCAAGCATATTTTTTATACATTTTGCTGCAGTTCACTTTGTATGTGTTCTGACACTCCATTTTTGGGTGCTTACTTCTTACAATCTCTTACACATATACTTTTATAAATAAAACAGTTTCTTGATTTTGTTTGGATAAAAACATTTCTGAAAATAGCAATAATTGTACACAGAAAGAGGAGTTAAATTTTATAAATATTAATATATTTCCCTGACTAAACACAGAAAGCATGATTTTATGACTTTATTTATTTGTTAGAAATATATTTTACTATGTTACAATTGCTCTGGAAACTCATTTTTAAATTGCATATAATTGATTATAATTTATTGGTCACTTAAGAGGGATTGGTAAACAATTTGAGGAGACAATAGTAGGGATGTGAGAAGGCCATCCTCAGAAGCTTAAGCGAAATATCTACAAGGTCAGATCGCAAGAGGAAAAGGCATAATGGAGTGAGGTAACTGCATATTGTAACGCTTATTTTTCCTTCTTAATACCCTATATTTCACTCATACACAAATTCCAGTACTAAGGTGTTGTAGTCAGGGGTTGTGTAGAGAACAATTAGAATCAGGACATGGACTTTATAATATTATCTTTATAATGGTCACCGGGAGTTAACACAAGAAAATGCAGGAAATCTATCCGCACCACCAAACACATAGAATAGTCAAGGGCCTGAATCCCACAACAATGTCCCACATGAGTCCAGATAAAAACCCAGAGCTCATGACAATGCCTCCCACGAGTCCAACTGGAGGTCCAGAGCCCACAAGAAGGACTCAAGCCAGTCTCTTTTACGAATCTGTGCCAGGAAGACCCAAAGGTCAGTGATGTGAAGCCAGAGAGTCTGTGCCAGCAGGATGAAGGAGCTGTGCTGGTGGGATGAGACTTCTATGCTGGGGCTGAGAAGTCACACTCACAACAGACCAGGGATGAAATGCACCACAGCCATGCTTGGCAACACGGAGGCCACGAGCTCCTCTGATGACAATTACAGTCGGGTACGTGCCAGAAGCAGCATGACGAGTTCATCCCAGAGACCAAGCAGCACATGTCTTCCCCTCCGGAGCCAGGAAGCAATGCTGGATGTCTCCAGCAGAACCAGAGGCTCAAACAGCAACCCGTGGGAGAACCCACAATGCCTCAATGCAACAATGCATTAACACCTCAGCACCTTAATACCTCCCTTCTTCTCCACATATTTATCCTGGCAACTTTCCTCAAATGGAGCATATTCGCTCAGTGTCATGCTGATGTAATCCAACTGGCGTTAAGTGGACCACCAGTTTCTAATCCATAACATAAGTCAAAGACTAAGTAAATAGCAGGTTTGCATCATTGTAAATACAATTAGTAATAATTGACTTAAATATTAATAATGCCTTACTGATATTATTAAAACATGAAAATATATGTACTGTGTTTTACTTTATGCATTTACATGGGAATTTTCACTTTTTCAAGTTAAAATGCAGAGAGTAGAGGCATTTTCAAATATCACAGTCCAACAGCTTCACTGTGAAATCTTAGACAGTTAATGACAGTCAGAAATTTCTCTGATTTTTTTCATATAATTATGTGATTTGTAGCTGTAAATTGTTTCTATGAATGGAAGTAGTGCACATTAACTCTTACTTCACAGAAAGACTAAACCTATCTCATTTAGTAAAAGCTACTTTCTTGTCTACTCTGTTATCAGGTTTCCTCTCCCTCCCATACTTTGCTGAACATTAAGCACCATTGAATGGCCAGTATTAACTTAAAAAGCAAACAACAATAACAAAAAAGAAAACATTCAGTACAAATGTCTTTGTCCTGCCTTAACCCAAACTGAATAAAGGAGTAGTTGAGGCATAAATGTATATCAGTTAACAAAATGAAATTTAATTGCTTCTCTAAGATGCTGAATCCAAAGTTGTTGTTGAAATTAAGCAATTGTTATTGCAAAAATAAAGTATTTTTGTTGTCAGCTAATATATATGTATTGAAGAAAAAATTGAAATTTTATGACTCACGGATAGCAACTGATAACATTTTTGGTGGCTTTGTTATCATTTTTCTATCCACATGAATTTCCTTAAATACATGTGGTTAAATGCATATCTTACATATTTACACATTTATGCATATTTGAATTAATTAATAGATTGATTGTATTCCTTCTTTGGAAATTTAATTTATTGTGTTGGAAACTTCTCTGCTAAAATCTTGCAACTCATGGTACTAAAGTTTGAAAAAATGGTTTTGAAATATTATTTTAAGTATTTTGTTTTGGTTCCATATGAATGATTATTATTATCAATAATTCTAGTTTGGTTTCAGATGAATGATCATTATTACCAAAAAATTCTGTGATGCTGATTTGGAACATATATGAGTTTCCATTGCTGTCTAATTTCCTAGTATCAATCCCCAAAATCTGAAACAATATTTGTCGGTGTCACTCCTGGCCGGCAGGAAGGACACACAACAAAGTCTGGCAGTGGACAACCTTTTCTTTTATTTTCCTTCTCCGTACAGCCTGCCCCGGGAATCCTCCCGGCCGAAGCCTCTGTTGGTCCGCTCCCCGCGGCTCCTTGCGTGCTTCTTCTCTACAGTCTGTCCCGAAGCCTCTACCGGTCCGCTCTCCGCGGCTCCTTGCGTGCTTCTTCTGCTTCTTCTGCTTCTTCTTCCGTGGCGGGAGAGGCACTCACTTTTATAGGGTTACAGTGGCCAATCAGTTCAAAGCGCGCGATGCGGGCTGATTGGCTAACATCAGTTGTTGCTAGGCAGACTATCTTACAGCGCGGGTTGTGAAGCAGGAGATCTTACAGGGCGGGTTGTTTACCAAGCAGGAAGCAGGAGATCTTACAGGGCGGGTTGTTTACCAAGCAGGAAGCAGGAGATCTTACAGGGCGGGTTGTTTACCAAGCAGGAAATAAGCGCCATCTTAGCACACTCGATGGGAGGGGTAATCTAGCTCAGGCTTTGCTCTTCCTACAGGCCTCACGTCCGCCAAGTAAGGCGACTGGGCTCGGCCGCGGCTCCCAACAAATATTAGAAAAATAAATTACATTTGCAAATTAAAAAATAATTTATTGAGAGTAAAGAAGAAATACAAATGGCAAATAAAGACATGGAAAAATGTTCGTCATCATTGGTCATTAGAGAAATGCAAATTAAAACCACACTGAGATTCCATCTCACTCCTGAAAGAATGGCTAGGATCAAGAAAATAGACGACAAGTGCTGGAGAGTCTATGGGGAAAAAGGAACTCTCCTATACTGTTGGTGGGAGTGTAGACTGGTATAACCTTTGTAGAGGTCAGTCTGGAGATTTCTCAAAAAACTGGGATTGGAAGTCCTATTTGTTCCAGCTATTCCACTTCTAGGCTATTCCCAGAAGAACTGAAAGCATCACACCACAGTGATATATGTGCACCTATGTTTACAGCAGCACCATTTGTAATCACCAGATCTTGGAAACAACCCAAGTGTCCATCAACTGAGGAATGGATAAAAATGTAGTGGTATTTTTATACAATGGAGTACTACTCAGCTATAAAGAAGGATCACATTGAGATATTTATCAATACATGGGTGCAGCTTGAAACCATACTCATAAGTGAAATAAATCAAAGTCACATCTGTGAACACCGAATAGTTTCCCTAGTGTAGGAAATTATTCAAATATATAAAAGTATGTGGTAACCATGATTCCCCATTATGTGGCCTTGAAGCCTTATAAAGTTTTCACTCATTAATTGGAATGGCTTTATTCTGGGCTGTTCAATATTATGGCCTGTGATGCAATGAACAGATATTTTGAAGAAAACAAGACATCATAATAGCTAGTGTTCATTTAATACCATCTTGTTTTAAAGCCCCACCAAACTACGGCTCTTCTGTCTCCATTGGTTTTATCATGTTATATCTTGCTGGATTTTATCATATGTGGTAGTATAAACAAAAAATTGTTATAGGCAAAGGGACAAAATAGAAACCATTGTTCATTTTTCTGTTAGCTGGTTCTAAATACTCTACAATGCTTTCATCCACTTGAGTGGTGTTACACTGTCTTGATATGTTTGATGCTATAGCATATGAAGTTATATTCAAATATTTCAAGGAAAAAAGACACTATGGTAACTACTGTTAAGTCGGGTTATTTGGTGGTGAAGCAGTAGGTTGCTGAAACTGTCACGTTTGACCTGTATTGTTATGTTGTTATGCCCTCTTTTATCTCAAACTCTCCCTTATTCATTAAAAAATTATTTAATTAAAAATAATAATTTATTGCTTGCTAAAATATACTATTGTCATACAATATTTATATTGATAGTCATAGTCATTAATCATATAACTTAGGTATAGTATTAAATATAGATTTATATTTAGTTCTCAATAATCTCTCAATATACACACAGATAGCATATGCATTGTAGATAATAGTAAAGAAATAGACATTAGATATGAGAGTTTTTTTCTGAAAATCCTTCATACTTTACTTCAAACTAGCACAAAATTTGATAGGGCAATATATTAAAAATCACAAGTGCAATTGTACATATGTTTTCAATGTATTATTCTTATAGGTTTTGAAAATATTATTTCACAAAGGTTTTGCACTAATTTAAAAAATGTATTTATGTTTTCCATAAAATAAAGTTTTCAAGATTTATCATTATGGACAAACCTATGGTTCAAATTCTTAAAATTTTTATTCCATATTCACTATTGAAAACATAAAAGATTTGTCATGTTTAGATAAACAGTACTGTGTGTGCAAAAGAGAAAAAAGAGAAAGAGACAGTGAGACAGAGAGAAAAAAGAAAGACAAGTATAAACAATAATTATGGATGTTAAAAAATGTTCTAAATAACAACC